ACCTATGAAAAACAGCAATGAAGAGGTGATTCCATGCTCTTCAAAACATCGAATCTCCCGATCAGAGGCCTTGCTACTGAATGTAGTAATGTTCTATCGTCGGCGTGTATGTGTTTTAAATATTGTCTTTACTGAAGTGTAATGTTAATTCCTGATTCTTGTAGTTCTTGTGATTGTCTAGCTTAATTACCCGTCTTCGATATGACGATAAACTACATCCGGCAGCAAAGCCTCTGATTGGGAGGTGTTGAGGAGCGTGGAACCACCTCTTAATAGCTATTGTTCCCATGTAAACTCTGAGCTGGAGCATTAGCACCTGTTAGGGTCCCAGCTATGGGTAAATAGTTAACTCCAAAACTGGGGTCAAAGCACTATGAAAGTATAACATTTTTTTTTGATTTTTAGTAAAAATACAAGCAATACATTTTTTGAAAAAAAAAGATACTGCCAGAAATATATTTTTGGAAAAAAAATACCAGAAATACATAAAAAAATATTACCAGCCATGCAGTTTTAAAAAATATTACCAGAAATATATTTTTTGAAAAAAATAAAACAAAAAATACCAGCAATGCAAACAAAAAGAAATTTTTTTACCAGCCATGCAGTTTAAAAAAATATTACCAGAAATATATTTCTGGAAAAAAAATTAAAAAAATACCAGCAATGCATAAAAAAAAAAAATATTACCAGCCATACAGTTTAAAAAAAAATATTACCAGGAATACATTTTTGGAAAAGAAATATCAGCAATGCATAAAAATATTACCAGCCATGTAGTTTTGTTTTTTTTTTAAATATTACCAGAAATATAATTTTGAAAAAAAAAATACATATTCTATTCATACGGACCTATCCTAAAAATCTTGTCAACATTAAATAACCCACTAAGGTTGATATGCTGTAAAACAAAATAAACGAAACCTCGCTTAATTACAACCTCTACAAGCTCATTCGGGCGACGTTGATTTTCATTTCGATTTGCGAAGAGACACATGGACATATATATGACTAACGTAAATTGCAATGTTAAAATATATATTTGTAATAGGGAAGGAAATAGTTTAAAAAGTGATATCAAAGTTTTGATCTCGAAGAGATCAGTGACTGGAAAGTCCTTAACTGGACATTAGTAGCGGTTGTTGACCGATTGACCAGTTGAGACTAAATAGAGAAGCATCGGCGCCATCTGTCTTTTATCTCTCTGTCTCCATTTAATTTAGCGCTGTAGTAGACATTGTCGAAATGTAATTCAATAAAAAGAATCCTGCATAATGTAGATGCAAACGAAATAGAGACATTTTCGTCGAGCGCTACTGGAAGCGATTGACAAGAAAATAAACTATTTTTCTTTAATTTACCGTACCCCTGCTCAAAGAAATCTTATTGCATATATCGTGTCCCTTCAGGATGTAGGCGATAATGGATCTCCACAATTTCCTATCCCTTGTAGTTCTTAGTAACGCTGACCTGGTCAAGTAGGTGGTCCACTGCTTCCCAATGTCCGTTTTGCCTTCGATACGACTTGTAGGGGTCAAATTGTCCAAACGATTTTCTTTATTATATGACCAAGACATTTTGCTGTAATTGATATTAAATTAATTGAAATGTTATTTCAGTATTTGTATTTTTAAATAATTAAAATTATTCAAAAAATAAAACAAATTTTGGCAAATAACTTTCTTTTTTTTTTTTACTTTAGTTCATCCAATCCAATGCCCATGAGTCACTCGGGATAGAGGTTTCTAAGTGAGATTGTTGTAAGGAAGTTGGAAGGTGGGAGTAAGAGATGCAGATTATGAGGATATGAAGGATATACGTCAACTGATATATATATATATATATATATATATATATATATATATATATATATAATTAAATGAATCATTCATAAAAAGTAGATTAGATTGGATCACGTGACCATAGACGAAAACCATATATAGGAAGTCGAAGGCCGTCTAGATTGATCGTTATTTCTAGTCTATCATCTATTACTATTCGGATTGTTTGTTTTTTTTTCTACTCTATTCTCTATTACTATTCGAACCGCTATTTTCTATTCTCTTCTCTACACTATTCTCTATTCGGATCACTATGCTGTGGTTACTAAAGTAGCATGTATTATCGAGCAAACACTATCAGTGAGAGTTTTATTCGAAGGCGTCTGACACCAGTATTGTTCAACGGCGTTACTATAGTTGTAACTGCGATTACAAAGTCTCTACTACAACGAACATTACGAAAGTGACAATGAGTATTCGTTGACATCACAAGAGTTGGCAACGAGTATTCGTTGACATCACAAATCCATGAAAGTTCCTCCTTACCTCGAACGCCTACTGGGTCTAAAACTCATTCGCGGCGTCAAATGGAATACGTATATCCGGTGTCATTGCAAAAAATGCTGGAAGAATTGTTGGTTCTTTGTTTGGTCTGACTTGGTTTGTTTTACGGCATATCAAACTCAATGGGTTATTTAATGCCAACAAGATTTTTATTGCTGGTAACTTTTTTCAAACATGTATTGCAGGTAATAATTCTTTGTAAAATGTATTACTGGTATTAAAGACTATTTTTACCCTTTCATGGTGTTTTGAGCATACTTTGTGAGTTAACTATTTATCATAGCTGGAATCCTAACAGGGTATATCACCCCGGGTTAGGATGGACCTGAAACTCCAGCAAATAACAGATGGTTCCACGCTCCTCTAAAACCTCCTAATCAGAGGCCTTGCTGCTGGATGTAGTTTACCGTCAGACTCAGGACGATCGGTTCTTTGTAGTACTCCAGAAAAATACCTGACCCCCGCTGCTATATTCTATCATTCTAAGAGTCAGATCGAAGCAAGAATCGACTGTTGCTACCATATTTGGGTTGACGCTGCCCAATCTTCAGTGTCCTGCCTCGACAGAGTTCAAAATCAATTGAGCGAAATTGTGGGTGATGAATTGATCACCACCCTGATATCTTTATTCCTCTGACGAAACGTTGCTAGCCTCTCACTATTCTATCGCTGTTGCTATGGCAGATGTTCGGACGAGTTACATTTCTTAGCTCCACCAGTTCCGACCTTCACAACCAGAACCCGCCATCACGATTGCATTCGTGTTCTTTTGATAAAGAGCAATTGCCCCCCAGGGAAGATCTCCACAAGTACTGTTACTTTGTAGAACAAACACCCGAGGTGATACATCCCTGACACCTACAGTCTTGGTCTCTTTATGTCCAGGGACAGCCGATCTCTTACACCTCCTCATAATATACTCTTCTCACTTCCTCCTTCTCCCCCTCTTACAACAATAACATTCAGTGACGCTCTACTTTGAGAGACTCTTGTGCCTTATATTGGCTCTTGTTTTGTTTTTTGCTACCTGTTGGAAATTTGAGGTCGTTATGGTAGAATGAAAAATTCTAGCTCACCAAACCAATTCTATGGCCATTTTGTAAGCGTAGCTTCGGTTTGACACAAAGCCGAAATATGGGACACTCCGTGAGAATTGAACTCACCACTAAGTTGTAACTGATCTAGTGAGACAAACTTGTTAACCATTACACCACACCGAAGTGCCCCACCAAGCCAATTAGCGTCGACGCATAGCAGTAACAATATATTTTGTTACAATATTAGTCCATGATACAGCGCAGATACATACATACATATAAATATGTACATACACACATACATACATACATACATACACACACATACATACGCACATACATACATACACGCATGCATACATGAATACACACATACATACATACATAAATACATGCATACATGCATATATACATACAGACACATACATACATACACAAATAAATACACACATACATACATACACACATATATACACACATACATACACAGATACATACATACATGCATAAATACATACAGGCACATACATACACACATAAGCAGAAATACATACATACATGCATACACACATACACACGTACATACACACATGCATACGCACATACATACATACATACACGCATACATACATACACACATACATACATACGCACATACATATATACATACATAGATACACACAAACATACATATATGCACACATACATACATACATACATACACACATACATGCATACATACATACCTACACACATAGATACATATATACACACATACATACATGCATAGATACTGACACATACATACGCACATACGCAACGATACATGCATACACCCATACATTCACCCATACATTCACACATGCATACATACAAACATACACACATACATATGCTTTTAATAATCAAATATTACTGAATTATTTCTCGATTGGGTTGAAAGAAACATTTTTCTTTGTAAATGAACATGCAGGAAATGGATATTTCAAAAATGATTTCTCAACGGAAAATGGCTGCAGAAATTTAAGTTGCAAATATTATCAGGATAAAATTCTCGTAACAAAAAAAAAAAAAAAAAAAAAAAGAAAATATTTTCGAAAGAAATGGAAGACAAAGAGATTATTTTATCCAGATATCCGAATTTCTTATTTGTCTTCCCATAAATTGTTTGATTTTCAGGAACAATGTCTCATCGTTCAGGTAAAATAATACCTGTACTTTAAGATCAAAGCCTTATGTTTAAAACTTACTAAATCAAACTTTCTAAATCAAGCTGAAAAAAACGCAGTAAATTTGGTAAATAAAATATTTGTTCTTCTTATAATTGTTCTTCATGATTTTGTTGCGATTTTTTCCCGAAATATATTTTCGATGAACGCATTTACAAAGAATCTTGAACAAAATGTTAAACATTCATATCAGGGAAATAATTACTTTATTTAAAAAAACTAAAATTACTCATAGGTCTGTTTACCTTAAGGTTACGCTTGATTTTATCTTAATCTCTACTTTTCGTTTCTTTCTTTTTTCTTTCTTAATTTTTCTTTTTTTATCTTTTACTTTTTTCTATCTCTCTTTTTCTTTTTTCTTTTCCCTTTCCTCTTTTTCTTTCTTTTTCATGTTTCCTTTTTCTTTCTACCTCCTTTTTCTTTTTCCTCCCTTCTTTCTTTCTTTTTCTTTCTTTCTTTTCTTTCTTTCTTTTTCTTTCTTTGCTTTACATTATTCTCTTCTGTCTTTTTCATTCTTTTTCTTTCTTTTTTCTTTCTTTTTCGTGTTTCTTTTTTCTTTCTTTTTTCTTTCTACTTTCTTTTTTTTCATTCTTTCTTTCTTTTTCGTTCTTCCTTTTTTCTTTATTATTCTCTTCTTTCTTTTACTTTCTTTTTTTATTTTTCGTGTTTCGTGTTTCGTGTTCTTTTTTCCTTCTTTCTTTTTCTTGTTTCTTTCTTTTTCTTTGTTTTTCTTTCTTTCTCTTTCATTATCACTTTTTCTTTCTTTCTTTTTCTTTCTTTCTTTCTTTTCATTATTCTCTTCTATTCTTCTTTTCCTTTCTTTTTTCTTTCTTTTTCTTTCTTTTTTCTTTCTACTTTCTTTCTCTTTTTTAATTCTTTCTTTATTTATTTCTTCTTCATTATTCCCTTCTTTTTTTACTTTCTTTTTTTATTTTTCATGTTTCGTTTTCTTTCTTCTTTCTCCTTCTTTCTTTTTCTTTCTTTCTTTTTTCTTTCTTTCTTTTTCATTATCTCTTTTTTCTTTTTACTTTCTTTTTTCTTTCTTTCTTTTTTGTATGTTTCATTATTCTTTCTTTCTTTCTTTCTTTCTTTCTTTCTTTCTTTCTTTCTGTTATTAGAAATGTTTCTCCATTATCTCAAATTTAAAACAATATATGTCTGATTCATATTTTATATAAAAACTAGCTTCTTAACCTTTTGAACGAGATCAAAGCGTAGTATCTGTCTGCATTTATATCCTTATCTTTTTCCTACAAAAAATGTGTGTCACGAAGCAAGACGCGGGTAATTCGGTTAGTCGTTACATATAAAGAGACAAAGCAAGTATTAAAACCTTACGTTGAAGAATTCAAATGTTATCAGCCAGGCTTACTTCCCCAAATCTGACCAAAAGATTATTCTTATGGTAAGTCTTCTAGTAGTACTGAGAAATTTTCGTATATAAGAGTGAAATAAATGTCAGAATTTCCTTAGTACATTTAACATGCAAACAGACGGAGAGCGAAACTTCATTTTAAAAGTTCATCATTTAATACTTTCCGTTTTAAAGAGACTGAAGATTAAATTCATAGCGTCGTTGAAATTTTTTGTGTTCTACTCTTGATGAAAATATTGGCTGGTTGTTTTTGTTGAGCGGCATACCAAAGTCTATGGGTTATTTTTCTTAATCCTTTTGTTTAAGATAGCGTCGAAAGTCATCGCCTTCATTTTATCATTATTTTCCTGTTATCTATTGAAGTTGTTGTTGAGGACGGAAGTATTTAAGTGATGTAGTATTTGTTATTTGGTTAAGTTCTTTGTTCTTTTCATGGTTGGTTGGTTTTATTTAGTGGCATATCACCATTTGCCAGTTGTTCAATGCCGAAATTTAAACATTTTCTATACAATTTTTTTTTATTTTATTTTTGGAAATAATAATAGTTTAGTGTCACAAGTCTTACTAATTAAGCCATAGCTGAGAGAAGAAGAGGTGGGTTCATATACCTTACCCAAGGGTGTCTGCGCGTAAAAAAATATAACGAATCCGACTTGGAAATGGAACTCGGCTCTCCGATGAACAATTCCAAACAGTTGTCTATTGCACCACCCGCACATCCTGGCTTACAACACCTGATATTCTCCAGTGGTCATTCAGAAGATTTTACCGCAGTAGGTTGCATTTTCTTTCTAAGTTGATTGCCAAACAAGGTTGTTGAACCAACTCTTCTGCTGTACAACCCATAGCAGGGAGTGGGAGGAGATGAATTCTTACCTTTCCCAAGGCTATTTGTGCGTAAGTTAACATCTTGGTTATATCAGTGGGTTTCTGTTCTAGTTCAATTTGCCAGCCTTTGGAAAAAAAATTTAAGTGATTATTTCTGCTTTTTAGTGATTTTCTTTTGCCAGACTATAGTTTTTGCTGAAGGACCGTCATCTTCAAGGCTTAATGGATCAATTTACTTCAAACCCTTTTTGAACATTGATCTGAGAAAACGGTTGTAAACAGAAGATAGCTTAAATATTTCTTAATGATTATTTATATCCGGACTACTGTCCTCCTCTTTGTTGTTTTCATCACAACGTTTCGGCTTCTGTGCTCTCCGACCTCCGTCAGCTGTATATCGATTATATACTCCCGATGAACATCGACATACATCTGATGAAAGCCGAAGGACTCAACGGCCGAGAAGTTGTGTTAACAACAAATAGGAGGACGATACTCCGAATATAAAACTACATCCAGCGCAACAAGGGTATCTGATCAGGAGGTTCTGAGGAGCGTGGAACCACCCCTTAATTGTTGGTCTTCCCAGGTCCACCCTGACTCGTACTGATAGCAACTGTTAATGTCCCAGCTATTGTTAACCACCCAAAATGGGATCAAAACACTATGAAAGTATAAAAATAGGTTTTAATACAAACAACACATTTTGGGAAAAAATATTACCAGCAATATATTATTACCAGCAATACATTTTTGGAAAAAGATTATTACCAGCAATGCAATTTTTGGAAAAAAATATTACCAGCAATGCATTTTTGGAAAAAGTTTATTACCAGCAATATATTTTTGGAAAAAAAATATTACCACCGATAAAAATCTATTTGGCATCAAATAACCATTGAGGTTGATATGCCGTAAACCAAACCAAACTGAATATGAATAATGTAAATAATGGTAACTTTTGATCCCAGAAATTCAGACATAATTTTCTGAACAAGTTTGCCGCCATCCATAACATACATATGAGAGTCTAGGACATGAAACAGGTTCTCAGGTTACATTTGGTTTTGTAGCCTATTACATTGTTGGAGAAATATACATATATTCTATACTAAATTTTTCATGACTGATCCATAAAATAGGGCATTTGAAGTGTTTACAATGGTAGTCATTTTCTATTTAAGAACATTACTCCAGTTCTCAGGTTATTTATTTGGTTTTGTAACACTTTTGTTGGACAAAGCTACCCATAGAGAAACCTACCCTGTTTTCAATTACCTTATCTTCTATACTAAATTTGTTATAACTGATCAATACGCCAAGTTATTTGAAGTGTTTAATATTTGCTAATTGCATATTCAGAATATTAATGATGGATTCAGTGTTGATGCCATCAGTGCCTTTTTTTCCAATTCCAGATTATAATTTTAGCTGCGGAAACGTTTCTCCGAAGTCTTGAAAAATTTGATAAAAAAACACTGATGTTTATTTTGTTTTCAAAATCGTTGCCATAGCAACTATGAACACTTATATTATGAATGAAATTCGTTCATTCTTCTTCTATGTGTCGAGCCTCTTCAAGACATCGGTGAACATGGCTCTTCCCAACTTTCTATCCTTCGCACCTCCAAGTAATATTTGTAATCTTACTGCCTCTTCCAGTGCCTGTTCACATAAAACCATTTGCAAAAATCTCTTTAGATAGTTGCTCTTTTACGCTCTTGCAATCAATATGCCATATGAACGTCAAATTCTCCAAAACCTCTTTCCTGATGATGCGTCCAAGAATTTTCTATTTCAAGAATTTTCAACAGTCTTTTCCTGAACCGAAGTATAAGTGTGTTTTTTGTTTCTATTTTTCTTAAAGTTCCTTGTTGCTCACAGGCACGAGCCATTGCATTTTCAGTATCGTTCTCTAGAATCACATTTCTTTTGCTTCGTCTCTTCATCTGTGAGGAAAGTGTGCAACATTCACGGCCATTTAAGGGCGTTTGGTTTTACGTAACAGTTCAGCACTCTTTTGTTGGATTCTAATGGAATTGTCCTGTTTTTAATACGTTAAGAAACTTTTGGAAAACATGTTTTTCCTATTCTCAGTCGCCTTTTGAATTATGTGGCATATTTTTCTTTGTCTGTTATAACACTTTCTAGATAGTTAAAATTCTTTAATTACTTGACTTTGCCGTTTCCAATTCCGTAATTAGTACTAATGAATACTAATATAACGATTAGTAATGCCGATTTGTCTTTAATGGAAATTTTTACGTTTTGATTATTTAGGTCATAATAAATCAATTGTTAAAATAAGTCATAATAATAATTGTCATAATAAGTCATAATATGATGAAGGTATCACCAAAGTAAATCAAACCTTAATAATAATTAGGTCATAATAAGTCAATTATCATAATAAATCATAATAAGATCAAAGTATCACCAATGTTAAACAAACTTTAATAATAATTAGGTCATAATAAGTCAATTGTCATGAAGTCATAATAAGGTCAAAGTATCACCAAAGTAAAACAAACCTTAATAATAATTAGGTCATAATAAGTCAATTGTCATAATATGTCATAATAAGATCAAAATATCAACAAAGTAAAACAAACCTTAATAATAATTAGGTCATAATAAATCAATTGTCATAATGTCATAATAATGTCAAAGTATCACCAAAGTAGAACGAAACTTAAGAGCCTGGCCTCTACCTAAAGTGACCGCTTGAAAATACCAGCTGCTGTAAACTTGAATTTGTGTGTGATGTAATGAACAATGACTCAGAATTATTAATGAGAGAGCCTAGTTCCAAATCCAGTTGGGTTCTTTATATCCACTTAAGCGGAAATACCCTTAGAAGTACTATGAATCCTCTTCTCCCATGGTTTATGGGTTAAATAGTAAAACATGTATCACTAATTCATCGTTATGCACGCACAAAAAAAAACGAAAAGTTTCTTACACTCTTAAAAATTCTGGCTTTAAATAACCTGCAAAGTGTTGATAAGTCGTGAAGAACAGACCAATGAATAAAATTTAATACAGGCATTTTTCAGTGCGCCCACACTGCTACCAAATGTGACAAGGTCGAGGTTTAAAGTGGATTTAACAGCAATATCTAGCCAACTCGGCACTTGACCTTATGGGAACGCCTGAGATGACGGGCAATAAACCCAGCCCCCTTCTGAAGGAGCTTTACTGCATGGAGTGAAAGGCGCCTGGGGCTTGGGATTAATATTTTTTATACTTCTCCGGCATGTACCAGAATAAGCAAACCAGACCGATTTCCACTAGCCAATTACTTTCTGTTTTCTATAAAGAAACCATTCCTATAAGTTTCGTCATCACAACACAGAAGGTATTAGGATAACTTAGAATCTGGAGAAAATAATTAAAACTTGCAATATTTTTCACATAATGTAATTGCTGACATGAAGACATTAATGTTTATAGCCGAACACGACGCACTTAGACTCAACTAAGCGTTGTCACTATTGCTAGAAGAATTTTCAAGGGAGGCAACTCTCTCCAGCAGATAGTGGCCAAATATATATATATTTTTCTTAATGTAATTTATACTTTTACTAGCCTCAAAACTGGGGGAGGCTGATACAATTAGCCTAACATAAATTAATGATTGCTCGGCCAAGCATTATTAGATTCCCTCTACAATAAATCAACTTATATACGCGTATGTATTTGAAAATCTATTTTCTGAATTATTTTTAGTTTCTATATCACAAATGAGAAATTTTCTTTATGATACGCACATACATACACATGCATATGTATATATGACATGGTGCAGTAGCAGCTCGAATTGAGGAATCGTAGAGCCGAGTTCGAATTCCAGTTACGTTCAAATACCTTTGGGAATGTATCACCAAAGTAAAACAAACCTTAATAATAATTAGG